CCCAACCAGGCACCCAGATGAAACCCAGCTTCCTAACTAATGATAGCCGTCCATTTACCCGAAGCCAAGCTGCACTAAAGGCCTCCATTAAAGCAACACAATGCTGCCAGCCAATCAAGATACAAAAAGAGCCAAAAAACAGACAGAAGATATTAGAGACACCAATCAAGCAGAACACAGCAAACTCCGAGACCAATAAACACAGACCAAGACTCCCAACCAATCAGGATGAAGAAAAAACCATTCTGGCACAGCAATAGGCTGCCCCAAATTCAAATCTGAAACCACTGTAAAAGTCTGACTCACAGACGGACACAATACAGAAGCCTGATGATGGCAGATGAGATTCTGCTGAAACGTTGCTACAACTTTAAAAGAACAACTACAATGACGTGGGAAAATACCCGAACCAAGCCTAACACCATACATGTAAGTACCCGCGAAAACTTAAGAAAACATATATATATATATATACACACACACACACACACACACACACACACACGCATACATATATACATATATATATATACATATATATATATACATACATATACATATATATATACATACACACACACACACACACACACACACACACACACATATGAATGAAGTTGGGTAAATTCACCTGTTCCCATTTATCAACTTTTCCTCTCTACAAAGGGAAAATCAAGTAGGCTTTGGACCCCTCTTGGAGGTGGGGTCCAAAGAGCCTGTTGCTTACTGTTCTTTGTCTTCAAAGTGATGCACACCAAAGCAAGGAGTGGGGAAAAACCGAAGAAGGAAATATTGACAGGATGAATAGTTTCAGAGGTTCCTGAAGGGAAGGAAGCTTATTCAGAAAAGCTATAGGGGAATCAACATCCTCAAGAATAGTGCCATTCAGTCTTACCTGTTTCCCCGGTAAAGCAAAAGAGAAAGGCCTGACTAAGCCAAGAGCAAGCACAGAACAAAGAAGCAATGGTGAACAAACAGAATAGAGATACCAGTTTGTTCGGACTGCGTCGAGAAAAGACCCTGCGTGGGCACTTGATGTGTAGATGCCCTGAACACCAGCTGCGCATGTTGAGCCACTCCACTGTGCGGGCAGGGCTGGGGCCATCTTCACGGTGCAGGAGGATAAGCTGCTTTAGAGCCCGCACTGCTGTATTCTCCAGCATCTGTTCTAGCTGACAGAGTGGAGGGAGAAAGGAGAAGTCAAGTCAATTACATTCATTTCCATCACAACATAAACAGCTGGCTTTGACTGATTATGTTCTTACACCATATTTCTTATGAAGCCAGATACAAGAGAGAGCCAAAAACCAAGTCTATTATTAGAACAGGGAAGACAACTAATTTGCAAGAGAAGGAATATTGACAGACTAATAAAATATGCTCTTTGATCTTACTGAAATTCATTTTAAGTTCTATTCAGTAGGAGGTGGATTTGTACAATGGAAACCATTAATCAAACTCCCCTCTGGCCACTCAAGCAAGCTGATCAGCCTACTCAAGTAGAGCAATTCTTAGGCCACGCTTCACTCTAGTCATGATGGACCTTTTACCTCACCCAGTGTAGGCTCTTGGTCCCCCACGCCCACAATGAGAATGCAGTCAGCTTGTCGGATGCAACGCACTGTCCAAGGAGTCAAGGTGTAATCAGTCTGGTACAAAACAATGCGATGAATGTCCTCTTGCTGAGCTAGCCAGCCAGAGAGTCGATATTCATGGATACTGTAAAGGAAGAAAGGCAGAATAAAGATGTCTCATTCCAGTCTCACTGGCAGCACTGTAAGAGCAAAAGGGGACAGAAAGTGCCCAGAGAAACAAGCCAAAATCAACTTCCATCTTGGATTTTACAGGATTCTAGTCAATCATATTTGTTCTTCCAGAAATCCAATGCTGCCCAAGAGTGGATCTCTAAAGGGATAAAAGCTATTTCCTGTTGTTCCTTTTTCTTGATGATGAACATTGACCTCTTTCAAATCATCTTAATTGAACAGACAGGACCTATGCACAAACTCTGACATCTTATACCAATACACATATTAGACATATTGTTCAGATTCATGGAGGAACTCTATATTATGTGCAAACTCTTTGCTGATTGAATAATCATGATCTAATGGATAAGGGCGAATGTAACAATCAGATAGAGGCATTAATATTGAGGTATTGCATGGTTTCTTTGAAAAAAATCAAACCCCCCAAACTTCAGTTTTATGCTTGGAAAAAAAATATCAGATATCCAAAAAAACATTTTCCAAATTCTATTAAAAGACATACGTTTTTGTGAGCGGCAACCACTTCATCAGATGAAAAGGAGAAGAGCACAAATAAAGATCAACAAATAAACTAAAAATGTAGCACAATCTATATAGAAGACTATGGACAGATAGAATGGCTAAAACAGAATATATAGCAGATTGTGAATACTCTGGGGGAAAAGAATACAGTATGCTATATCTCATCTCCATATTCCAGTATCTGTAATTATACCTTTCTGCTTACAAGCTTATGTGTGTTCCCAACCCACCTATCCAATGCTGATGCCCCAAGACGAGCACGGATAATGTCACTGGTGAGTAGCAGGGTTGGGCCTATGAAGAAAAAGAAGAATGATGACAAAAGCAGCAGAATGAAGCAACACAAGGAAAGAGAGCACTAACAAGAGCTCACCAATTGCATTCAGAGCATGTTTGAGTTCCAATGTGAAGGCTGCCATGGGCACCTCATCACACACTGGAAGGACTGCCACTGTTGAGAGATTACTAGCTGGATTGGTCAGTTCTGAACTGGAGGTCATGCCAAGACCTGAACCTACATGGGCGATACAATAATCATTGAAACACAAATATCTGAAGTACCTGGAAGGAACATTAGATAGTCGCAGCCACACTACTCTGTCACATGAGGATGCTCTTTCAACCCCTGATGCTTTCTGGCCATATGGCAACAAGTTGGTGCATAGCCTAAAGCCTCTTACCTGGGAAAGAGCCACGTAACTGCTGCAGATTCCCCAGGATCTTCTGACTCAGTAGGTGGATAAGGCGGGTGACAACCTATATAAGGCATTAGAAGACTGGAGGATGCCAGTGCCCAGAATTTGAACAGTAATACATATAAACAAAGATTTCTCAGTCTGTTAAATACCCAGCTGATGAGAAACTAGCCTGATCTTCCTAAAATGATTTTCTCCCTATTCACATCTAAAAAAGTGCTCACAATGACTTGCCACTGCATTCCTTCATTCTCTATTAAAATGCAACTCTACATGTATCCTGAAGTATCTCCCTGGATATCATAGTATATCTTTAACTCCTTCTAGAAAAAACTTACTATCAGCAATGAATCTACCTTGTTTAGAAGATAGCATGGTTTGCTACAATATGGAAAAGCAGCATTTTCTATTATGATTTCCATTTGAAAACGTTTTGAAGACATGATGACTGTGGGGGTTAATGTTTTCTCATAATGCAATTGAGCCAGTTCACAGCAGACAAGAAAAACTCTATATGAGGGTTCACTTTCTGGCTCAATTTTGATTATGTTGACTTTGAAAAACTAGGAGCCTACAACGTATGCTGTTTTGTTGGGGCTATCCAAAAAGTTTGCATAAGAAATTAACAGTGCCATTAATACATGGTAAGCCAAGTCAAATAATGAAGTAGAACAGTTATCTACATGTTCATTTTCCAGATCAGTATCCTATAAAGCTTTACAATCTTCCTTTACACTCAATATTTCTGAACACTTATAAAGCTTTTCTACCTGATCATGTTTGTGTCCAAAAATATACATATTATGCCATAGAGTTTCTATACATACAATGTGCACGTACACATCCTACAAACTGAAATGGAAATAAATCTGCAGAACCATTTCCAAATTCAGAAATTAGTTGTACACCAGGACTGCAAAGCTTAGTTCAAATAGAAAATAGGGAGAATCCCTGAGCCTGCACCTGAGGGTAGCGTCTTTTGATGTTGTTGAGAGTCCCTTCTGGTAACTTGGCCAACTCTGTGTCCCGTACAGCATGGACAGTAGTAGCTCGTACTTGATGGGTCAGAGCTTCCACCTGTATCACAAGAAATGAGTCACAGTTGGTAAATCACATTCATCATAGTCTTCCCACATGAAAAAGAGCACTCCTCAGCTTGTGAGAGATGCTCTTCTGTAAGTATGAATATATAGTCCTCATTTAATAACAATAATTGGGACTGAAATTTCCACTGCTAAGGGTTGCGGTCATGTGACTATGATGCTTAATAACGGCAGTTCTAGAAGTCTCTGGTTATTATTGTTAAGTGAGGATTTCACATGATCATGGCTTCAAAATATACAATTTTATTAAGGATTTTAATTTTAATTACAATATTATGTTATGATGTATTATTTTGTAAGTCCCAGTACTGATACTAAAAGCTTCTTGATATTTTTTGTTTCTGCTTAGAATCTTTAATCCTTTAAAATTTTAATCCCCCAAATTTAGTGTGCAGTTTTTAAAATTAAAATTTTACTTATCTTTGTTAGCTTAAATAGCCAAAGTAGCCAAAATATATCTGGTTCCCACAAGAACCTATTTGTTTTCTTATAGTTAATTCCAAAGACTTAAGAATAAATGACAGTATTCCAAATTTAGGTGGACTCTTAATTCATTTAAATTTTCTTAGATAAAAATCTTATTTGGTGCTTTTGCTGTTTAATTCAAATTCTTTCTTAAGTTTATAACTAATTTTCTTTTGTTCAGAACTGTAGCTAAACCCACCCCGCATTCTAAAGTTATCATTCCAAAGGTCTTAATAGGTTTAAGATAGTTAACATGTAATTTCTAAAAATGTTTAGATAGATAGTGAGGCTTTTAAACCTAGCATCCTTTAAAAGCAGGATGGCTAATCTCTTTGTCTCCCAGTGCTTAAAATTGTGAAAACTGCCATTTTAGAGTCTCTTTGTGAGGAACAGTCTTTCAGAGCAGCGGTTGCCAACCAGTGGGCCATGGCCCACTGGTAAGCCGCAAGAAAATTTTGGTGGGCCGCAGAGAAATCTCGCCTCCAGAGCACCCCCCAAAGCAATTAATCCAGGCTGGGCAAGAACACAAGGCTGCGCCGCCCACATGGCCTGCAGGAACCCCCCCACCCACTCACTCCTTACCCAGCAATCTTTCCTGTTAAATTGCTATTTTTCCTTTTTCCAACCATCAGCTGTTCTGCTGTGCCAGAAGATTTAGATTAGCTAGAAAGCAGGAAATGGTTGGATTTCTTGTTTTCTAGCTAGTCTTTAGATCTTCAGGTCTGCTTTTAAGCACAGCCGAATCTCCCATAGGACTGAAGTTTCTATTATTCAGTGCAGACTCACAGCAAGCAAATTTTATGTGACAGACTGAGCTAGCTGATGGCAGATAGATAGATCACTGAATGAATGTGTGAGCAACTCAATCTGCCTGCCTGCTTTGCCTGATTTTGGGTAAAAGTTGCTCTTTTTTTAATAAAAAATTCAATATTTATATACATGGTGTGTTGAGAGTTAATTTTGTGGGTTTGCTTGCTAGCAAATTTTATGAGTTTGCTTGCAAACAAATTTTATATGACAGACTGAGCTAGCTGATGGCAGATAGATAGATCTCTGAATGAATCTGTGATTCTGTGAGCAACTCAATCTGCCTGCTTGCTTTGACTGATTTTGGGTAAAAGTTGCTCTTTTTTATAAAAAATTCAATATTTATATAAATATTTATAATATTTACATACCAGCCATGCCCAGCCAGTCACATGACCACCAAGACACACCCACAAATTAGGCCATGCCCACAGAACCGGTTAGTGGTCCCTGGGATTTAAAATTATGAGATTGGTGGTCCCTGAGGTCCAAAAGGTTGGCAACCCCTGTTCCAGAGCACATGTGGATGATCTTCTGTCCTCCCATATTCAGAGAGATTCCAAACACCCAGTCCATTCATTTGTTTTTTTGGTCTTTGCCACAATTGTTGGCTCCACTTTTGTGAAGAGGTCTTCAGTTTGCCATGCCTCCCCTGGAAGTTTCATGCGTTTGCAACTTCCAAATTCCTGCTGGCTTCCCCATTGACTTTGTTTATGGGAAGACAGCAGGGAAGGTCACAAATCATGATCATGAGACTGTGGGATATGGCAATGATTGGAAATCAAGGCTGGTTGCAGAATGCCCAGACTGCATCATATGATCACGGCCAGAACTCTGAGAACCAATAGTATTGGTAGCTGCCATTCATTCAGTGCCATTGCAAATTCAAACAGTAAATGAGCAAGTAGTTATTAAGCAAGGGCCACCTAGTCTACAATTGGTCTAGAACAAGAATCTGATGCTGTGTCTATTAATCTTCTTAAAATACAAAGTGTGTAACTCATATTTGGGCTCAAAAGGGTAGTAGAGGATTTACCCCTTTGGTTTAGCTGTCCATCACTGAATGTAGGGGTTTTCCTTACTTAGAACTTACCACTCCAATGAGGTCCCCACGCCCATATTCCCCAACCAGTTCCTTCTTGCCATTGGCCTTCTGAATGACAGAGCGCAAGCGCCCATTCAGCACAATGTAAGTGCAGTCAGACTTATCACCTTGCCTGGAAGAGAAGGAAAAATCATGGATTAAATTGGTCTCCTTCTCTAATAACCAGTAAAGTCTGCCTTGAAGCAAGTTATCTCTGTGCAAATATCATGGCATAGTGTGCATCTAACTGAACGGGGGATTCTTTAGCAAAGGAAAGGCATCAAACGTAGCTCAGGAAATAGCTCCTTTGTCTTACCTGTAAAGTGCTCGCCCAGCCTCTACTGCCATCCAATCAATAGCGAAGTCCATTTGACGTACAAAAGGAGACATGCGGGCTGCTACAGTATGAGCCACACTCAGCACCACACTTGGCTGTTCCCTCATAATCCTAAGGAGGAGTCAGAAGTTACTGGAAGACTACAGCCTTTACAACATATAAAAGTTCCAGTTCGTTTCTCAGTTTTGCCAGAGTCGAGAAAGAAATAGATCCAACTTGGATTCAGGGAAGATGCTGCTAGTTAAGCATGGTGAATCTTGGGGCAAAGCTAAATTAATTTTACTGATTTATTCATTTTTATTCAACAAGTGACTCTGGGCAATGAACAATCATAAAACCAATTAAAAATAATTTTTGTAATATAGAAGTTAAAATACACACAGCAGCTGAGGAAAATACTACAATTCATAGATGTTAAAACAATCAGGAGACAGAATCTTTCAAACACTTGGGGCTCAGACCAGGCCACAAAACTAGGTGTTAGGGGGTAAGCAGGGCCATACCCATCCTAATCTCAGGAGGGAGGGTGTTCCATAAGGCAGGTGCTATGGCAGAAAAGGCACAATTCCTGGCCCCCTCTGGCATTCCCAGAGTATACCCATCCTGCCAGACTAGACTGGATAGGTAGAAGCATCTGGGGAAAGAAGTCCCTCAGGCAACTCAGTCATTAAAGAAAGATAACCATTATTTTTAGGTAGCTCTTTCTACTGGAGAAGAGAAAGAGGAAAACCACACCAGAGCCATGAAAGCCCTTCCTAAGCTGACAGCATAAACCCACAGACAGAACCATTCTTTTTTCTCCATTTTACCTGTGAGATGGCCCAACCAATCTCCCAGTGGAGAATAGCAAATGGCTCAGGCTAAAAGAACAGGAGCAGTTGCCGCATGTGAACACGGCTAGTGATTGAGAAGAACATGATAGCAGGAGAGCCAGGCAGAAACCAAGCACATTTTATGCACATGGTACCCACTCGTAAAAGTCAGACTTGGAGATCTTAAGGAAAGTACAATCACGATTTGCTTTGATGGTGAAAATCAGTGGTTCTCCAGTAAGCACTGCTAGCTGGCCCACCATCTCTCCAGGTTGAACCAAGAAGAGGCACACGTCTTCAGCCTTGTCAATCATCCGCTGGTAAACATGCAGACAGCCCCACAGTACAAAGTGTAAGCTGACATCCTGCCAAAAAAGACCAGAATAAGCAGCCCATTCCAAGGGAATTGGGTTACCATGGAGCAGGACTGAGCAGAAGCTTCAACAGGTTTCTAGAAATATCTTTTAAAAAACTTTGTCTCTTAAAAGCTAAATCAATGGGTTTGCTAAACAGCTGGAAATTAGTGTTTTAAAGAGGAGTGTTTTGCAGCCGATGTGCACTCCACTTTTTTTCCTTCTTCCTTTCCTGACAAATTCTTCTTCTTTTATAATCCACAGTCATTGCTGTAAAAGCTACAGCATAGGGTTCTACATTGTGGAAAGAAACCTTCAATAATTTGAACTGTGAAGAACCCACTCAGAAGAATACACAATAAAATTCAATCTACATGAAATGCTTCTTGAGAAGTCTTTCCTTCTAGAACATAAGTCCATCCAACATTAGGTCCTGATTACAGGAATAAACTATTACAGGCAATCTCTTCTTTCATCCTTTTCTGATCTTCAAGGGGATGAGATGTGCTACAATTATCATTTATTTTTCTCTGACTAAGCTAGTTTACGATCTTGTATGTCCTCTACAATGCTTACTTGATCTCCTTGACGGGCAATTACTGTTCCTGCTTTGGCATGATGCAAAAGCACCCGATTATTTAGTAAGGATGAATCCTGTGGAGAGAATGGCAGAGTGTTATTAGCTGTCTTTCCTGTTTGGAATAGGAGCTGAATCCTTTACACCTCAATTACACTCTGGGTAGAGTAGAGTTCAAAGTAAAGTCAGGAAACTAAGTCTCTTCTCTATAGGATTTCTAAAATATTATCATTTTTTAAAAGCTGCAAGGCGGAGCTGTTTTCACAGCTCCTTTGTAAAAAAAAGGTCTGAAACTGAAAAAAGTAAGTTTCAGCCTCACACATTCCTGTAGGAGAAAGGGTAATTTACTGGTACTAGAGTACATTTTGCAGTATAGGTTGTCACGAAAGTACACAAATACACACACTGGTTTATAAACCTATTCCCAGTGTAGAAGGAACATTGGCTTACCTGAATGTTCATTTTCTGTCTAGGTGGAGTGAGTCCAGATAGGATGGGGTTAACTCTGCTTAAACCAGTTGGACTGAGTCTGCTCAAATTCAAGCTCCGCCCCTTTGCTGAGGCCACTCCCCAGTTTTTGACGAAGCATCAAGGCAGATGAGACGTGATTCCACTAGTGTACATAAACAGATACACATTAATGCACCCTCCCTAGCCCATCCCAGACTAGACGAACCAGGGTGGGGCTGGACTCACTCCACATAGATAGAAAATGAACATTCAGGTAAGCCAATGTTCCTTTTCCTGTCTATGGTTACATGACTCCAGATAGGATGGGACATACCCAAGCCTGCTAATTCCAGGGAGAGCAATAGTCTGGTCCTACTTACATCAGTGTTCATGTACACTTTGCAGGATTCTTCTGCCAAAAGCGGCATACAGCGCAGCGAAGGCATCAATGCGATAATGGTGGATAAAAGGAGATGGAGAAGACCAGGTGGCCGCTCTACAAATCTCCTCAATGGGGGCTTGGGTAGCCCAGGCCGCCGTTGTCGCTGCACTCCTGGTGGAATGTGCTCTCACTCTTCTTAGAATCGGAAGAGCTGAAGTGTGATAAGCCTTAGCAATGCAGGCCCTAATCCACCTGCCCACTGTCATTGGTGACACCTTCAACCCCAAGGAACTGGGTTGAAATGATATGAACAGGACTTTCGTCCTGTGGAACAGAAGGGTCCTCTGGATGTTAAGCCCTCCGCACATCCAGAGTGTGCCATGATCGCTTGAGAGAGTGGGAAGGAGTAGGACAAAAATTGGGAAGGACAAGTTCCTGTGCTCTATGAAATCTGGAATTGATTTTAGGTATAAAGGAGGGATCCAATTGCAACACCACTCTGCCCGCATGGAAGACACACAAGACTTCCGTGACAGAAAGAGCAGCTAACTCCGAAATCCTCCTAGCCGAGGTAATGGCTATGAGGAATGCCACCTTGAGAGAGAGGTAATATAAGATTATGGATGTAAGTGGTTCAAAAAGTGGAGACATTAAGGCTTTTAGAACTTTGGGAAGGTCCCAAGTGGGAAATCTGTGAACCACTGGTGGCCTCAGCAAAGGGGCGGAGCTTGAATTTGAGCCGACTCAGTCCAACTGGTTTAAGCAGAATTAACCCCATCCTATCTGGACTTATGTAACCATAGACAGGAAAATAACCATCACAAAGCAGCATTCTGAAGCAATTTCTATTTGTCTTGGAATAACTATTATCTCTTGACCTCCATTTTCCTTTTAAGAAAAAAAAGGATTGAGACTAAACAGGACTCTTGCAAGGCAAACCTTATGAATATTGTAGAGTACAAAGTGCAGTAAAACTGAAGATGATTTCAAAAGAACTCCTAGTATTTTTAGTTAAAAGGAATACTTTCTTACAATGAATGGAAGAAAAATATCAAAACTGGTGAGGAGAGGACAAAAGGAGGACAGGATTGCAAATTCTCTTGTCCATAAAACTCATGAAGAAAGAAGAGCAGTGGCACAATCGAAGTGTTGTCTTAAAGTGCCATGAAAAATATTCTGGGCCATGATAAATTGAAAGGATTTGGAAGTAAAGGACAATTCTGTTTTGTTTTGTACTGGCCCATAGAAAATGTTCATATAAAAAGATGTCATGACTCTAGAAAGAATGCAGAGAAGAGCAACAAGGATGATTAAAGGACTAGAGCCTACTGTACATCATATGATGAACAAGTGAGGGAACTAGGTATATCTAGTCTAACAAAGAGGACTGGGGTAGTATGTAGCAGTGTTCCAGTACTTGAGGGGATGTCACAGAGAAGTGGGAGTCAACTTATTATTCAAAGCACCTGAGGGCAGGACAAGAACTAATAGATGTAAGATCATAAAAAGAGATCCAACCTAGAACTAAGGAGAATTCCTGACAGTGAGAATCAGTGGAACAACTTGCCCTTGGAATTTGTGGGTGCTCTATCACTGGAGGTTTTGAAGCAGAGACTGGACAACCATTTGTCCAGAATGCTAAAAGATCTCCTGCCATGGACAGAGAGTTGGACTAGAACAGGGCTGTCAAATTCGTGGCCCACAGGCTGGATGTGTCATGTGCTGGCCACACCCACCCTGGTTTAGTGAAGGGGAAAAAAGTCCTGATATGTCACATGATGTTGCTGTGATGACGTGAGTTTGACACCCCTGGACTAGAAGAACTTCAAGGTCCCTTCCAACCCTATTATTCTATGTTCTAATTCCTGTTGAGAAGTGAATAAAGCATTGAATAAACCCAAGCATTGAACACAACCAGCTTCTGCACCAGTGGTGGGATTATTATTATTTTTACTACCGGTTGGTGGGAGTGGCATGGCTTGGTGGGCATGGCTTGGTGGGCGTGACAGGGGAAGGATATACTGTAAAATCTCCATTCCCTCCCCACTCCTGGGGAAAGGTTACTGCAAAATCCCATTCCATCCCCATCCCACTAACCTGCTTTCAGATCCATTCTCCTCTACAGGGCAACAAAAGAAGACCCAGCCAATCAGCTGGGACTTGGGAGGCAGAGAATAGATAGGGGCGGGGGGGGGGAGCAGTCAGAGGTTGTATTTGCCGGTTCTCTGAACTACTCAAAATTTCCGCTACCGGTTCTCCAGAACTGGTCAGAATCTGCTGAATACCACCTCTGCTCTGCACTTGCTAAGAAATAAAGAAAATAGCAAGGGAGAACCCTCCCCTCCCAAATCACTGATTATCAGAAAACTCTTCCTGTATCACTCTACCTCAATTTTCATGAGTTTGACCAACTCCCGCTTGGCAGCCTCAAAAATGGCACTGGTCTGGCGGCCCTGGTATGGTCCAAATGGGCAATCGCCAGTTGCTGAATCATCCTCACAATAGTTGTAATGGTAGATGCCCGATGGTTGTTCTTCCACCATCACAGACTTTCGTTCACGGGAGTCTTGGGAAGCTGACTGTTAAAAATAGAAAAGGAAGAAGCAATTAACAGAGGCCTAAGAACCAAGAGATTGTCTACAGGAAAGATTTCACAAAGGCAGAAACATTTCCTCCCCAAAAGGCAGCCTCATCTCTATCCCTTTTAATTGTATCTAAAAACCTGTAAGAAAATGACAAATATCAAAGCTGACATGCTCCTTTCCTCCTTGGCAGAAACTTACTCGAGCAAAGCCATCCAATGCAATTGTACTGTTTTCCTGAAGAGAAACTGAGATGCGGCCTCGCTCATAGGCCATATCAAAGTCTGACCGTGGGCCCTTTGGAATTCCTGAGTGAGAAAGAGAGTATGGAGATAATCCACTGGATTGCCCAAGGAATCAAACAAAGGGAGAATGGGCCAAAAAGAGACATACCTGAAATGTCAACTGGCATGGAGATACAACGGCTCAACAGAGGAGGAACAGGGGGTTCTAATAAACCTGATTTCAAGGGATCACCTAGAAGTATACAAGTGTACAGTATACTCACATAGTATAGATGTGAACATTTTACTTTCCCATACCTTGGAGGGAATCCATAAGCAATACTTGCGTAAGGAATGTAAAACCTCTGCCAGAGATTACTAAATTACATTCTATTGGGAGGGCTCAGAATATGCAGGGGAAAAGAACAGTGAAAATAATTCAGTTGGGACTGAGGCAGATGAGGTTTATACTCTGGGTTGATCTTCTTACTTTCTAGTAGCAGCATCCGGACCATTGCTTCTGCAATATTATTATTAGAGGACATCACTGGACAGAAGAAATTGAAGCCGTACTTCATAAGCGAGTCAAGGCAAGAGACAGAATGAAATGGATTGCACTGGAGGCTCAGAGGCCAAACTCAACTCACACTTTATAGCAAACGCCAGGTTTTACTCCTAGGGCAGGCAACTTACCTTGATCTTTAGAGGCATCTGGTTGCCTTCCAGTACTATCCTTTGTGTCCTCAATAGAGGAAGCACTGATTATACGTTTACTGTGCCAAACAGGACTTGTGCGCAAGGGGTGACTCGACTGGGGAAAAAGCCGCAATGGTTGCATTTCCTGGGGATGGGAAACATACCCACATCCATTACACAAGAAGGTGGGAAACACAGAGCAGTTGTGCTGGGAAACCCACCCTCTATGATTAATCAGCAGTGAGGGAAGTGAATTCTTCATATGCTCAAAGGCTACTGTCAATTCCCACATGAAGAAGGTGAGGTTTAATTTGGTCATAGGTCATGACTTACATGGCTGAAAAGCTCATTTGTCAGGCCCAGATAGTTGTGCAAGGCCAAGAAGGTGACTCTTTGAAGACGAACCATTATGATCTGTAATTGGAAACAGCAAAGTGGCAGGTCAACAGACAGTTACCCAACATGTGTCTGCATATGTCAGGTGCAAAACGTGAAGGTCCAATTAAACTGATTTATTGGTACTCTTGCCTATGTACTAACAGTTAGATCTGTTTGGAGTTAGATAAGGGTCAACAAAATTCAAGGGAGGGAACTTCCGGTTTGTCGGCTTCGCGAGCGGCAGGGATTTGCGAAGCTGAGCGATCCCTGCTGCGCTAGCCGCTTTTGGTGCTCCGATCCGGACGGGTCCGGAGCTAGGCTGCCCTGCAGGGGCAGCTGAAGATAGGGGGATCCGGAGAGGGGTTTGGGGGTGTTGCAGACCCCCTCCCCGGCCGGCAGAACCCCCTTTTCCCAAGACGGTGCAGCGGCGGTCCGCAATGGCCGCCACAAAGAAGCTGGCAGCCGGGTAAGAATGCGCAGGAGGAAGTGGAGAAAGTATTTGAAAAGAGAAAGTTTTTCTTGGTTCCCAGGACTCTAAGACATATTTAACAAAACTCCTGAAAAGTATGACTTTCTGAATGATACCTTCTAGAAGAGGAAAAAAGCGGCAGTTTGGTGGTGCTGAAAGGAAAGTTTACTCTCCTTCCCGACGGAATTAATAAGTGGACATTGAAAAACCTGTTTTTTTCAGGTAAAACTAGCTTTATGGGATAAGTCGGAAGGGAGAGGACAAAAAATATATTCATCTGGTTTGATTTTGTTGGAGGAGATGCCTTAAGGATTTGAAGACAGAAATAGAACTCCAATAAGGCTTCAAAATACAGATTTGGGCTTTCTTTTTTCTTTTGTCTGATACTACCCCTGGAAGAGAAAGGGAGAATTTTGTCTTGGCTTGGATTGATTGAGGATTGTGGATTTTGGGATTGTTTTACTTTTTTTTTGAAATATCTTGGTTGGTGTAAGAAGAAAGAGGGAAAAAAGAAAAGAAAAGAAAAGATCTATAATGGCTTTTTCTTTTGAGGAACTGAGGGAAGAATATGAGCAAACAAAAGCAGCCGGTAAAGATGGTATGGAAAAAGCCTTCCTATTTTTAGAAATGGCGCTGGTTAACTATCAACAAACAATACAACAGATGGAGGCAGAAGAACAACAAGAAGAAGAAGATGAAGACGCCATCTTTAATGAATTCCAAAATTTAACTAAGAAAGAAGGAAGGAAGAAAGCGAGGAAAATGAAGGACTTAAGATCTAAAAAAACATTTAAGAAAGAGAAAAATAAGATGCAAAATAAATATAATGATAGTAAACAAAAGAAAAAGGGAACACAACAGAGAAGGGATGCCAGCAAGGCAGAGGCTAGAAGAAGGGGGGGTAGGAAGATTTGGTGGGGGAAGAAAGAAAGGGGAAAGGCGGAGAAAAGCCACAAAGTTTTGAAATTAGATGGGAAAAGAGGAATTTTTTTTAGGGACAAAGGGTAAAGTACAATTTCCTTAAAAAAGATTTTGCAAGGTACATAAGATGGTATTGTAACATCTGTATTAGAAATAGAAAATTAGAATGGCTTAAGAGTTAATAAGAAATTAAAATGTTGAAATGTTTAACAATGATTGATTTTAAAATGTAATAAAATATTAAAGGGAAAGGCAATGGGAATGTTATAAGATTTAATATTTAGATTTATTATTTAACTATGTATTTAATCATTTTGGATTTATCACTCTGTTTTTATTGTTATTAAAAGAAAAAAATTAGTAGATAGAATGTACCAAGCAGAATCAGATTGGGTATTAGGTGTTATTTTAAATGTTAATCTAATTAATTTAGGGGGAGGATAGAAAGGCATCATACTCTGATTAGTGACTTCAGGAGAAATTCTTTTTTTTTTATAAGGAATGAGATAGAGGGATAATAAAGAATGGGCAAAAGATACAAATATAATGATTTAAATTAAGATGGATTAAATAAGATAGAATTATGAAGAGTGAAATGTGTGGAGAAGTTTATATAGAAGATATAGAATGGTAAACAAAATAGGTAATGATATGTAAGATGAGCATGAATATAATTGAAGCCCATATAAAGAGAGGTACCTGGGGCCAAGTTACTTTCCTAAAATATTTTTATATGTTTGTTTGTTGTGTGTTTATGTTTTTGAGAGTATTAATAAAACCTTGTAGAAATACAGAATGAGAATAATGGTAATCAAGTCAGAAAGAAATAGATGAAATAATAATAGTGAAATTGAATAAGAGTAAAGAGAAGTAAAGAGAAATTGGATAAGAGGTATTTTTATGTTCATATGGAAATGGCTTAAAATAGAACTGTATTGTATAAAATAAGGTTTTATCTGACTTGTAAAATTTATAATGGAAAAAGGTTCAAATATGTAATGGTTGATGATGATTTGTTTGTCTTTGAAATTAATAAAATTTGCTTAAAAAATAATAATCAAGGGAGGTTGGACTTAGCTTGTTGGTGGCTATGTAGTGATTCTAGGCTCTTTTAACTCTGACTACATTGTGGTAGTTAGTATAAAAATTCATTGCAATATGTAGGGTAGGTTAAAAGAAAGGCTTGTTTGTCTTAATTTCCACAGAATTGCCTCCATGGTCTCACTGTGGCAATTTCTCCTTAACTACCAAAAAGTAGCCGACTTAATTCTCCATGTGAGAGACACTCTCCACCACCCTCAAAGACAGGATTCTTGGTTCAGCCCACCAGCTGTCCTTCATTGCAACTTGTCCTGATACAATATTCTGTTGGAGATGCAACAGTCATCTTTTAATGCAGTATTCTAAATTTAACGGGCCACAAAGCTGTTTGTAGGGATATGTGTGGCAACATTAGTTCCTAGGTGTTTGTTTCAGAAGTGCAAATCAAGTAAAAACACTGTAGAGAAGATATGAAAGATGATGTTTGCAATTATGCAAATTTGCTTGATTGTGTGCTATTTCCTGCTTCTGCTGACTTCCAAATGCTTACACAGATCAAACCCAGCAGAAAAACACAGAGAGGAGATGCATAAAAGGAGAAAGAACAGTGGCAGAACATGAAATTTACCTGAACCACCCGAACCAAGCTCTCAGGATACTTCTCAAAGACCGCTGAGAAGGCTTCAACCGGCAACTGCAGCACAGTGGAGTCTTCAGCTACCCGTGCAGACACTGTCCGATATGGCCGTTGGTGACCCTGTTGGACACCCCCCCCGCACCGGAGAGATTTAAGCGCTATAACTATAATTCTTTCTGATCCACTAGTTACATATACAGCATGTAAAAGGAGAGCCATGTTAATCTATGGTAGCAATGGTCACAAGGAATCCAGAAGCCCTTTTCCAACTAACCAATCTTATTAAATGAGTTATATCTTACACTCATGAGGTTTGGATCACTTCATCAAATGCATATAGTGGCTTGATAGAATTTTTTAAAAAACAGATTGATAAAGTAGTTATAATCTATTTCACATGTAACCCACATCTCTATAACCAACCTATTTTCCTCTCTCTTTCCCCTTACTTCATCCCAATTTAAATCTGATTTAAAATGCATTCTATTGTATCAGAAGATGAATAGCAGCTCACAAAAGCTTATGCCTTTAAATAAAATTTGTTAGTCAGAAGAGGGACTACTAGGCTCCTTTGATTATTTACTTTTTATTAGTTTTATGGAGTGATTTGACCAATATTTGGAGAATTCAGCGGCAAATCAAGCTTTATCTTGTGTATCTGAGAAGACAGAAGCAGAGGATTGGGTCAAGTGGCTTCCTACTAATAGTAGGAGAGGCTAAGTGTATATGAACAGAGGGAATAGGTGTTGTAGTTATAGAAGGGAAAACATTCATCAGGTTCATATTTTAAAGTCTGATTTTCACATTGCAAAACACATGCACATGAATGCTCTCTGAAAATTTGTGAAGCAGCTGACAAATTAAGTATGTGTTTATTAGGGGAAAATACACATACACAAAACACATCATGCAGTAGAAAAAAAATATTCCTGAATTTACATAGAAAAACACACACGTTTTTGTATGAACTTTAAAACAACATTAAGAAGGCAGAAGTGGGGGGGGGGGGGGGGGAGCGGGCGTCTCAGCAGTACAGCATGCGATCTTGAAGCTCCAAGATCGCCGCTGATATCTCCGTTGCAGGACGGTCCCACTGGACCTAAACTGTCCTGTAGAGATGGTGACTGAGGAGGGCACATCCTGTCGATCCCAGGGACATCGCAAAGTCCCTGGTTGATCCAGGAAAAGCCCTTTTGCCAGTGGCAGAGAGGCAGCCATTCAAGCTGCTGAAGCTGGGACAGCTCCGGAATGGAAGAGATTGAAGGAAAGTGTGTCAGCTTGGTGAGATGAAGTTTTACTTATTATTACTTGAAGAGAACATCCTGAAAGATTTAAAGTGAAATTAAAAGTCAAGAGGAAAGAGTTTAAGTGATGAAATTAAACTAGTTAAAGTGAAAGTTTTTTTTCTTTTTCCCTTTTTTATTGGAACTTTGAATTTGGTAAAGTTATTGAACTTTAAACTGGACTGGTTTCTTTTAAATTTTCATCTTTGTTATTTTTTATTTTTTTTAATAATTTTTTGAAAGTCTGTTTTGATTAAGATTCTTCTTTTGGATTTGAGCTATGTTTTTTTTTTTTTTTTAAAAAAAGGAGGATTCCATTTTCTCTTTTTGTTTCTGGTATTGGATACAAGAGGGGGGAGTGAAAGTGAAGGGGGAAAAAAGTAGCATTGCCTGTTAGAGGCTTGGACATATTGTTTATTTCTTTCTCAGTTTGTTTATGTACTTGCTATGCTCAAGGACTCTGAGCTTTGCAATGGAAAAGATAGCGGGATGAGCATGGTAGATTGTTTATACAGGTGATCATCTGTGAAACTAAATAATTAGAGCTTTGAGCTGAAGTTGAAAGAAAGATTGAAGCGACCTTGAAAATACTGGAGCTAGAAACATTGAGTTTAATTTATTAAAGAGCCTTGGATACTTAGTGGCAGCAGCTGGTTTAACTCTTGATTATTTTCCATCTCCTTTTCTACCCCCCCCCCCCCCCCAGTTTGGATTTTTATGTTTGGATTTTAACCTTCTATTCCAGAAACTAGAACGTATTTTTTTTATTTTTTAATATTTATTTTTTTACTTTTTTTATCTTCTTCCTTTTCTCTTTTTTGTTAAGAGAAATAATTGGATTAAGGTAAACAAGTGCCTGAAGATTTTTCTTTTTTCCTTTTTTTGGGGGGGGAGTGGCAACTGCGTGCCTGTACTCAGTGTTTTTTTTTTTTCCTTTTTCTCTCTTCCTCTCTACAGGTAAACACAAGATGAGCAGAAAGACAACAGTACCAGCTTCCTCAATACCAATAGCCTCTTCACCATCTGGAGGACAACAGTCAATACAGACAATTTTACAACAGGAAAAAGAGAAGAAAGTGACATTACAGATGATTATGCAAGGAATCCAGAAGATTGAAAAGAGAATAGAGAATATTGAGCAAAGAGCTGAGAATATTGAGCAAAGAACTGAAAAGACATTTGAGAAAGTAGAGAACATTCAACAGATGATGATGAAATATGAGGACAGTATTAAGAAAATTGAAGAAGATATACAAAGGGACAAGAAAATTGGAGATATTGACACTTGATTGAGTGATATTGAGAAGTGCAGATGCGAACCATTAGGATGGGAAATTGACAGATCAGAATTCTACCTAAGATTTCAAAATGTAGAAGGTAAAGGTGAAAATCTTGCTGAAATAATGACAGAAATACTGGCAGAAGCGTTAGAGATAACCAAAGAGAAGATGATGGATGGGATGGATGAAGTGTTCCATGTATATACAAGATATGCAATGAGAAACAGACTACCAAGAGAAGTTCATATTAGAATCACTAAAAAGATTATTAAGACACATGTACTACAGGTAGCACGAGAGAAAACCTTAGTACAAAGATAAAGAATATTTAGAGAATATTTATTTTTGACTAAAGAGTTACTTAAAAGAGGAGTAAATTACAGATGGATGATGCCAGAAGGCCTTTTGTTCACCTGGCAGGAACAAAGACACAGAATTGACACAGTTGAAAAAGCTGAGCTATTCTACTTAGAATATTTTAGAGGAAAAGAGGAAGAAGCTAGAAAGGAAGAGTCACTAATTGAATTCCAAGAGGAGTGTATAGCAGTAATTGAAAAAGAGATAGAAGAAGGTGCAGTAGGTGGTGTACCCAGAGAGCAACGAGAATTAAGACCTACTAGAGCAATAAAAACCCCTCACAAAGCCTAACATGGATGAAAGAAAATTGATTACGATTAACATAAATGGACATAATTTGGCTATTAAAAGAAGGAAAGTATTTCATAAACTAGAGAAATTGAAATTTAATTTGCTTACAAGAAGTACATATTAAAAAACAACATGAATATATACAAACAAACAAAAATTAGGGAAATTATTTACATCGCTGGCACAATCTAAAAAAAGAGGTGTGGTTTTATATATTAAAAACACAATTTTTGCAGAATTTATACAGATGATGATGGAAGGATTTTGATGGTGGAAATAATGGACAATAATCTTAAAACACTTTTAATTGCAATTTATGCTCCCAATGATAACCAAGAAGATTTTACAGGAAATTACATATGAAAATAATTGAATTGGACTATGTTAATATTTGTATGATGGGAGATCTTAATGGAATAGTTAACGATTGGTTGGATTACGAAATGCAGAAATCAACAAAGAAAGCTAGAAAGATATTACCAAAATCCTTCTTTCAAATAACAGAAGAATTCAACTTAAAAGATGTTTGGAGAGAGAGAAAAGTGGAGAGTAAGCAATACACCTTTTACTCAAACAGACATGCTTCGTGGTCTAGAATAGACAAGATATGGATGTCAGCAGAACTACTGGCTAATAATATGAGAGATCGAAATAGAAACAAGCACTTGGGCAGTTACTTGGAGAGGATACAAGAGGAGATCCAGATGGCCCTTAAATAATACGATATTAAAAGAAAAAGACTTTAAACAGAAAATGAGAAAGAACTTGCTTTCTTCTTTAAAGAAAATAGAAAAGAGGATACATCTCTACAGAATCTCTGGGACACGATGAAGGCCTACACAAGAGGCTTGATAATAGACTATACAAGGAAAAGAAACAGAAAATAGAAAAAGACTTTCAAAATATTAGAGGATGATTATAAAAAACTAGAAAAAGACTTACAGAAGTCCCCACAAAAAAAAGACATTAAAAATAAAATAGATATAATTAAACATAAAATGGGACGAATGGAAAAAGAGGAACTAGCACAAAAATTAAAAATGCTAAATAGAATTACTTTGAAGATGCAAATAAACCAGGCAGATGGCTAGCCTATAAATTGAGAAAGGAGAGAGAATCAAGAAGGATTAGCCAACTAATAAATGAAGAAGGACATTCATGTTATGGAAATGAGGAGAAGGAAAAAATTATACAAGATTACAATGGGAAATTGTATTTTCAAGAGAATATTCAAGAAGAAAAACTTAAGCAATATTTACAGAAAGTGAACTTACCTCAGATACCTAAAGATATTGAAACAATGCTAGAAGAGAATATAACAATGATGGAATTAACAGAAGCTTTAAAAAAACAGAATGTTGGAAAAGCACCAGGTCCAGATGGCTTACCAGAGGAATTTTACAAGACCTTTCAGGAAATACTGAATCTTCACCTATTAGAAGTTATGAACGAAGTTATGTTAAAGAAAAAAATACCCAAAACATGGACAGAAGCATACATTACACTTATACCGAAGGAGGATACAGACCTGCAGCAAGTTAAAAATTACAGACCTATATCCCTATTAAATTCAGACTATAAAATCTTTGCTTCAATCTTGGCAGAAAGACTAAAAAGATACTTAAATAACCTTATCCATATTGATAAAAATGGATTCCTGCCAAAGAGACAAATCAAAGACAATGTGAGAATTATTTTGGATACTCTGGAATATTACAAGGCACATCCTGAGAAGCAAATGGCTTTGATGTTTTTAGACGCACAAAAAGCCTTCGACAATGTGAGTTGGCGATTTATGTTACTGCAGTTGGAACAAATGGGCTTTGTAAAAAATTCATTCAAGCCATTGAAATGATATATTATGAACAAACTGTTATGGTAAACGGAGAACTAACAGAATCTCTAGATATAAGAAAAGGGACAAGGCAAGGTTGCCCACTGTCGCCCCTGCTGTTTGTGTTAACATTGGAAGTGTTGAATAGGAATATTAGAGAAGATAAAGAAATAAAAGGAATGAAAAGAAGGCAGAAGTAGAACAAAATTAACATTGTAAAAAAAGAAAGAAAATGAGATCAACAGCTTAAGCAGTTATGAGAATGGTGGTTGTAAATAGACAGTACTTACTGTGATGACATCCAGGATGCTGAGAAGACTGTGCACACTGTCCCCTGGGAACACCTCCTTCACAAGAGTCTCTTTCCCATCCTGAATTACATACACACACAAACAGCTGTGAGAAGCTAGCCATGATTCTTTCCCTTATCAGGCTTTTAAATAAAGGCTTTTGAGCAAATGTAGGGGACATGAAAGGAGCCTCCCCAATGACTGCGTTGCTTTTGACAATTGAATGTCCCTGGACAAATCCTTTCACTCCAGAAGCACTCTTTAGTTTTATGGGTGATTCTGACACAAATATAGACAAATAAATGGAAATGAATGAGAGAAGTCATCTTGTAAGCAATATTCATTTCAGCAGCTCTCACTGGAAGAAACACTAGTGTACTGCAGTCCTTTTCAAGGTTTGCCCATCTCCTCCTCCTACCTGTTCAGAGAGGAACAGCTCCAATTTTCCATCCTGGACCACATAAATGCTGGTATCAGGCTGACCTGGGCGAAAGACATATTCGCCTTGCTGGCATTGTTGAAAAGTCATGTGTTTACACAATTCCAGGAATAAGGGTTTCTCAAAGTGGCCTAGCACCCTACAGGGAAATATCAGGGCACAATTTCAACAATAATCCCACCATATTAAACACTGAACTCTATCAACTACACAATCCCAATATGCTTCTTGGGGACAGTGGACTAGGTTCTCTAGACTGGGCACAAAACCCAGAAGAATAACCATAATAAGGGAGGTGCATGATTACATTAAAACGGTAGTAGTCTTTTTAAATGTTGTATTGTACTGGAAGCAGTGTTGGAGACCATTTGATACAAAGGTAGTACATAAAGCTTTGAAGGGGACATTATTGCATCCTTCCTTTCTTCCTCACGTTATGTAGCCTTGCTATCATATCTTATTTAACTCTATTTAGTGCCAGCAACTGTGATAAAAGGCCAAATAAAAGTATTACAAATTGTTTCAGCCTTGTCCATAAAACTGGGCAAACTCAATTGTGGAACTAATTCCCAAAAGCAATCCTTCTCAAGTTTGAGTTGTACTTGAGATTCCTAGTAGTGGTGCATTTGTATTCCTCCTTTTTCTTCTTTTTTCCCTTATGCCACAGAAACTAATTCTAGAAAAAATGATTAACTAGCTCTGTACCCGTGCTTCGTTATGAAACTATGTGATCGGGCTTAGTTTTTGGGGAGGAAAATAAAGGAAAAAATTGTGCCTCTGCCTACCAGCATCCATTGGTATTCATCTGGCTAGCGTCCTGTCAGTGTGTGAGAGATTTGAGGGCTGTTTGGAAACTGAAACATGGAAACTATAACAATATTTGCTGTGTGAGCAAGGAGACAGCAAGGAGCCTGGGCAGGACTTAGCTTAACTGTTCTGTACTAAAGCTGGTTGCTGCTGTGAAACTAAAACTGAAACTCAACTCCTCTACTTGTGTTTTGCATTTGGAACAGATTTATTTTCAGGTGGGGAAGGGGAGTAGAACTCCTTTACATCAGAGTGCATTAATAATAATATACGAAATACTAATGCTCTGATGATCATTTCGAAAAATCCTTTCTTAGTGAGCACCTAGAAGCCAAGAGGAACATACGTGCCAAATTTCAAGTTTGTAGGCTTTAAGGTTGTGGAGATTTTGTGATGATGCATGAGTGGCATTTCACTTTTATATATATATATATAAAAGTGAAATGCCACTTTTATATTTACTTTTTATATTTACTTTGGGATTAAATATTAATGAAATTAGCTTCAAACCTAATCTTGAAAATCTGCCAGTGAGAACTCAAAAGCTATGTGGACTTAAGAGCTGCACCACATTTTATCTGACTTATTGAGGGCCACCCAATAAGTAGGTGGCACTGAGACTCTTTGGGAAAAGGGAATGGAAGTTTTAAGGATGAAATTGGTGCCTTGTGTAAGTTTTGTTCATCTAGTCTAGAGAAAACCTGATGTCAACTGTCCCACTAAGTCATCTAGCAAAGAAAAACTGCTGTTTATTTTTGCCAAGAGTTACACTTTACTGAAGCTCCACCCCCACCTCTGTAAAAGTCCAATTAGGTGCTATATTGTTTAGGAAACAGGTACTTGATTCCCAGCTCTGCACATCAATAGTTGACAGTGGCTGTCTGAAGATTCTGACATGGCTCAGCTGGGCTTCCATCCCCCCCCTTTCTTCTTTCCCTCTCCCCTCCCCTCCTCATTGCTAATATCAGGCTGTCAGCTCATGAAGCTTGGATAGGAGAAATACAAGCCATGACACCTGATTCTAGACAGGAGGATCAATTATTCTCCAAGCAAGGAGTCAGAAGATACCTACCATTCTTTTTAATACATCAAGAGTTCAGTGCTCCCCATCCACAAATTGGCCATGCATTTTTTATTATTATAAAATAGTAACTAAAAAACCCACCCAGTCCTTGGGGTCTCCGGGCAATAGGATAAATAACACAAAAATGGTGAGGAGTGAATAACAGCAATCTCACTACATGCTTTGAGATCCTACAGCAGAGAATCTTTGTGGTGATAGTTACTTTATGGCAGGGGTGTCAAATTCATGTTGTCATGGCAACATCACGTGATGTATCGGGACTTTTCTCCCCTTCACTAAACTGGGTGTGGACTTGGCCAGTGTGTGACACATCTGGCCCGTGGACTGGGAGTTTGACAGCCCTACTTTATGGAAAAGACTAATTTAGCAATACCATTTTGGTCAACATGCGAAATTGTGTTTTTCTAATTGACCCTTCCTCAAGATAATCTAAAGAAATGCTAGATTATAAAGAATAGAGTTGTATCACATCTGGAAGATATCAAACCAGATTGTTTTGCATAGTGCCAGCTATCAAGGCACTTCAGTTTCTAATAACTTCCATGCAAGCCTCAACCTCAGCTAGTATACCTACATATATATACACACCGCACATTCTTTAACATGTAGAGTACTTCAGAGGGGAGATGAGAGTTGGCCACATCAAACTCTGTGAGATCAGCCTCCAGAACAGATGGGGGTGGTTCCTTCAGCTGAAGGATTGGCAGCTCCTTCTTGATACGCAGGATTCTGAGCACAGAAAAAAAAACACTGAGATTTCTTCAGACAGTCAATTAGCCAGTTCCCTCTTGGAAGAGAACAGAGATGCTTCTACCAGGAGAGACCACAAGCCACTCTTTCCTCTGTCCTTCTCCCAAGCAACCAAAATAATGTTACAAGCAGGGGTGGGATCCGACTGTGTAACTACCAGTTGGGTGATTTTACGTTTTGCGTGCTTTGCACACATGCGCACCTGATGCATGCTGTGCGCACATGTATATCATCAGCATCTAGCTGCCTGTACTGCTGAGCAGCGCTTGCGCGCAGGTGCGCAGCGATTGAAAAAGCACTTTTCTCCTGCTTTTTCAACCGCAGCTGTGTCACGCAAAGCAGCTGCGGTTGAAAACGCAGGAAATAAAGGTCAGCTAAGAGCCCGGGCGGGCAGGTGGGCCAAAACAGCAGCAAACATAAAACTGGTTCTATGTATGCTGTTTGTTGCTTTTCAGAGCAACTGGTTCTACAGAAGTGGACAGAACCGGTAGAATCCCGCCCCTGGTTACAAGGATCTTCTTTCCATTTTGGCCTGAGCTCTATGACACTGTACCAGCTTTTCATCAGGAGGCCTAAGTTTAGAAATAGCACATCTTATATTACTAGCGTGAAGATTGTATCCAGCTACCACAAAGAACTTGAGCAATTTCCCTACTGCACTTCCACATTCCTAGTCTCCCTTATCTACCATTCTTTTTTCTTTCCCTAACCCTCATTTTTGGCCCTCATTGTTGTATTTTTTCCTAACTGGCAGAACAAAAAGTGATTCAGATAAATATCCAGAACAGCCTACCCTAAGCACATACATTTATTTGTATATTTGTATTAGGTTGGAGAAGTGAAAAATAGTTTCCTTTAAAATGTCAATAAGAAAGCACAGGAATAATTGTTTATTTTCATAACTGGGAATTTGGCATAGTTTTGAAACATTGGGAGCCAGATGAGTATCATAAAATATTCCTATTGTACATATTATTTCAGAATGCAGGTTCCCTTGGAAGTATTCCAGTATTTTTTTAGAACATTTAAAGATATTAGATCCTGCGTCTGACCTAGATTGACTTCATTCAAATGTTCCCCTTCTGGGCAAAACTCAAACATCATGGTTCTAGATCTCCAAAATTCCATCAGCTTGTTGGGAGACACCCCTTCATTCAGTCAAACACTTTCCTCTTTCTGGCTTGTCTGCTCACTTTTTGGCAATATTTAGCATCTTGAGCTTCTTTTTCATTCGTGGCCGTGAAGCAGACATGGAAGTGTCTACAAGAGAGGATGTAGATTGAGAAACCTGCCAAAAAAAAAAAAAATGATGCGTTTAACGAAGAGAATCTGCTCCCTAGAGACTGCATCATGCAGCGTGCCCTTCAAAGTAGTTCGGCATACCATTTACATGCTCATTTTGGTACTGTGATTTTTTTATTACCTTACGCATAATCTTCCGTCCATAAAACAAAACTTTATCCCGCTTGCGAAATCGATATTTTGGTTGCTCTTGAGCCTGAACCTCTGTAGAGAAGTAAAAGAAAGAGACTAGGAATCCAGCAGGATAGGACCAAATTAAACCAAATAAAAAGATACCCTGTGGGGCATGGTTTCTCTTCACCATCAGAAGAGAACTTACTTTGAAGATGAAACCGGTGGATCAATATCAGTACCAAAGCAGAAACAATCAATACCGAAAGCCCAGTTCCTATCACAACTCCCAACACCTGTGGAGAAAATTTGATTTCCAATTGATATTAAGTTTATGGTTATCAGAAATATGACAGACAACAGTTTTATTAGAGAGATGTTCAGGGTGCCTCCATCATTCTTTGTGGAAACCAGATTAAGAGACTCTTCTCTTCATAGCAGATTCCAACCTTGTGAAGCCAACAGGATTTGAATTTATACTTTACTGACCAAAAGATTACAAAAAGAGGATTTTTATCACAGACTACCATATTCTTTGAAGTATAAGACGCACCTAGCTTTTGAGGAGGAAAACAAGAGAAAAAAAATCTGCCTCTGCCTCCCAGCAATTTGCCTCCTTGTAGCAAACAGCAAACAGTCTGGTCAACTTCAGCACAGCCTGATTAGCACAAACAACTGATTGTCGGCCTTTTGATGATCAGCTGTTTCAGGCTGCAGGAATCACCACTGCTTATTGCCGCTTTTGTGTGCCCCATTTTTGGCCTCCACATCCCGTTTTCAGCCTCCACATGCCCCATTTTCAGCTCCCACGCACCCCATTTTCAGCCTGTTCCAGGCAGCGGGGATTGGAAAAGGTAGAAAATGGGGCATGTGGAGGCCGAAAACAGGGCATGTGGAGGCCAAAAATGGGGTGTGGAGGCTGAAAATGGGGCACACAGTGGTGGCAATAGGCAATGGTGATTCCTGCAGCCTGAAACAGCTGATCATTGGCAGACCGATCCGACTGACAATCAGCTGCTTGTGCTAAATCAAGCTGTGCTGAAGCTGACCAGGCTGTTTGCTGTTTGCTACAAAGAGGCAAATTGCTGGGAGGCAGAGGCTAAAGGGTGGGGGGGCTGAGGGGTGAGAGGGGATTCGGCAACATTCGCTATATAAGACGCACAGACATTTCCACCCACTTTTGGGGGTGGAAAAAATGCATCTTATACTCTGAAAAATACAGTAATTAAAATGGACCACGGGGCAAATTGTTTCTAGTCATGGAACAATTTAGAGACTGCATTCAAAAAGACTCCAATTGCTCAACATATTCGGTGATCCCAAAGATACAAAAATTCCAGCCCAGGGTAGCAAATTTAGTTGTATTTAATTCCTGCACAGCAGATGAAATAAGCTCAGAATCTGAGTTTGAAAATCAGTGCACAATCAACATACCTCAGTACTAATGGGGAATTTTAATTACCGGGAGACAAACTCTGCATCAAATGGGAGATCAAACAAGTTTCTGACCAATCCAGCAAACAACATTGTCATCCAAAAGGTAGAGAAGGGAATTAGAGGGACAGCTCTACTGGACCTTCCTTTACCAAGAGAAGAAATGATAGAGGTTGAAGTTGCCAGAATTTTGGGGTGAGAGTGGAATTCAATATAATGTAAACACAAACAATAGAACACAATCAATCCAGTGTTTTAGACTTTAAAACAGATGATTTTCACAAACGTAGAGAGAGCTTGAGAAGATTCCTTGAAAAATATGATTATAAAAGCTCAGTCCCACACAATGCCACTAGAAAAGAAAATTAAGAAATCCAAGAAGAAACCCACATGGTTGCACAAAGTTCTCTCTGATAAACTGAAAGACAAAAAAGGATAAGTAAAAAAAAATGGAAAGAGGGACATATAACTAAGGTAGAATACCAACTAATAAGCCCAAATATGCAAAGATGAAGTCAGGAAAGTGAAAGCTCAGAATGAAGTAACACTTACAACAAATGTCAAGAATAATTTTAAAAAGTTTCTTTCAACATATAAAAAACCCAAGAAAAATAGTCAAGAAAACAATTACTACTATTAGGAGAAGGTGGCAAGGAATTGGGAGAAGGTGGCAAGAAAGTAATGGGCAGTAGAGAAAAAGCAGAGAAGCTTAATTCATTCTTTACATCTGTCTTCACGCAAAATGAAAATATAACCCAACCTACCAAAAACATAACCATAAGCACAGACTAGGAATGCAAATTAAAATAAGCAAGAAAATGGTAAGATAACACCTGCCTACTCTAAACAGTTCAAATCACCAGAACTTGAAGTATCATATCCCAGAGTTTGGAAGGATCTGGCAGACATGATCTCAGATTGAACCCTAACTTTCAATGAAAAGCAGTGTTGGTGAACCTTTTCGGCACCAAGTGCCGAAACGGGAGCATGCGTGCGCATGCGGCAGGAGTGCCGGAGACCGGAAGAGCAGTTCCCCAGGGTGCATGCTCGTGCTGGGAAGCTGAGCTTCTGGTTTCTAGCATGTGAATGTGCACTGGCTACCTAGGCTTCTGGTTTCTAGTGCGCATGCGCGTGCGAAGACCAGCTGGTCGGTGTACATGTGCACCTCAGGGAGCTGCTCTTCCCTTTTCTGGTGCTCCCATGTGTGTGAAGATTAGCTGGCCGACATGCATGCACACGCCAGAACCCAGAACAGAAACAGGCGACAGCTGTCATGCCCAGAGAGATGGCTTTGCATGCCACATCCGGCACACATGCCATAGGTTTGCCATCACAGTCCTAGAGCACCAGATACTACCAGAGGACTGGGAAAGAGCTTGATCAGTTCCCATCTTCAAAAAAGGAAAAAAGCAGGTCCAGGAAACTATAGACCAATCAGCCTGACATCAATAATTAAGAAGATTCCGGAAAAGATAATCTAGCAACAGATTTGGATAATCTAGCAACTAGAAGCAAGCAAAGTTATAACCAATATTATTTCATTCTTTGACAAAGTGACTAAACTAGTGGACAAGAAAAATGCTGTGGACATAGTGTATTTGAATTTCATTTGACAAAGTAAATCACAACCTAATTCTTGATCAGCTAGAAAAATGTGGGATAGACAGCATCACCATCAGATGGATTTGTAACTGGCTAATAAATCACACTCAACTTGTAGTCCTTAATGGAACTACATCTATATTTTAGTTTAGTTTAGTTTAGTTTATTGTCATTGCACCTTGTACAATGAAATAAAATACCATCTTCAGTGCACATCATGACCATGACCATTAAAATAAACACAAACACACATCCTTCACCCTCTACACATTGAACCAGAAACCCCCAACACCACACCAACACTGCACTATACAGCAGAATTCAAAAGAGCTACTGCCCTGGGATAGAAGCTGTTTTTCAGCCTAGTTGTCCTTGTTTTTAATATTCTGTACCGTCTGCCAGATGGTAATAATTCAAACAAAGGGTTCCCAGGATGAGATGGATCTTTGAGAATGTTATGAACTTTCTTAAGGCAGCAGGAGCTATAAAGCTGTTCCAAAGAGAAGAGAGGGCAACCAATGATCTTCTGGGCAATGATGTTAACCCTCTGGAGTGCTTTCCTATCTGCCACTGTGTAATTGGCAAACCATACAGAGGTGCAGTAAGTTAAAATGCTCTCTATGGTGCAGCAGTAGAAGGTCACCAGCAGTTTTTCATTCAGTTGTTGTTTTCTGAGAAGTCTCAGGTAGTATAATATCTGCTGGGACCTTTTGACCAGTGCTGCAATGTGAGCACCCCAGGTCAGGTCCCCAGGTCAGAGTCCCACCACTGTTGTATCTTCTGAAAATTTAGCAATAGTATTACTAGCGTGAGTAGGAATGCAGTCATGCACATAAAGAGTATAGAGTAAGGGACTCAACACGCAACCCTGTGGTGTACCAGTGTTAAGAATAAGGGCTGAAAAAGTATGATTACCTAATCTGACCCTCTGTGAGCGGCCAGACAGGAAATCCATAATCCAAAGGCAGGTTGAATTAGAAAGTCCAAGGTCCAGAAGTTTAGACACTAGTCTATGTGGAAGAATTGTGTTAAACGCAGAACTAAAATCCACAAAAAGCATCCTCACATAGCCCCCCCCCACTGTTCTAGATGAGTCAGATCAGTGTGAAGAATGATGGCTATAGCGTCCTCTGTAGATCTATTTTTTCTGTATGCAAACTGGTGTTTATCAAATGTATGCGGAAGACCAGAAATAATGTGCCAGGAGACCAATTTCTCAAAGCACTTCATGATGATATGGAGGAAAGTAAGCAGTGTGGTGCCACAGAGTTCTGTTTTAGGCCCTGTCTTCATAAATGACTTAGATGAGGGAATAGAAGGGGGACTCACCAAATTTGCAGATGACACTAAGCTGGCAGGAATAGCCAACACTTCAGAAGATAGGCTCAAGATCCAGATAGATCTTGGAGAACTTGAATACTGGGACTTATCTAATAAAGTGAAATTCAATGTAGAGAAAAATAAGGTTTTATACTTAAGCAAGAAAAACCAAATGTAGAGATTAGATGAAACCTGGCTTAACAGGAATAACTGTGAGAGGGATCTTGGAGTTGTAGTGGATGATCACTTAAATATGAGCCAACAGTGTGTGACAGCAGCCAAAAAAGCCAATGCAATCCTAGCAGAGGTGGTATTCAGCAGGTTCTGACCAGTTCTGGAGAACCGGTAGCGGAAATTTCGAGTAGTTTGGAGAACCGGCAAATACCACCTCTGACTGGAGATTTTACAGTATCCTTCCCTTGCCACACTCACCAAGCCACACCTATAGAACCGGTAGTAAAAAAATGTAAATCCCACCACTGAATCCTGGGTTGCATTAACAGTGAGGGAGAATCAAGTTCATATGAAGTACTCGTACTGCTTTATAAAGTCTTAGTAAGACCACACCTAGAATACTGAATCCAGTTTTGGTCACCACATTATAAAAAAAGATGTTAAAATTTTGGAAAGAGTTCAAAGAAGAACAGCGAAGATGATTGGGGCCTGGAGGCTAAAACATATGAAGTTGCAGGAATTGGGTATCTAGTGAAATGAATAGAAGGATTACGGGTGACATGATAGCAGTGTTCCAATATTTGAGGGGCTGCCACAAAGAAGAGGGGGTCAACTTATTTTCCAAAGCACCAGAAGGTAAGACAAGAAACAATGGATGGAATTTAATAATCTGGAACAGGGGTGTCAAACTCAATTTCATTGAGGGCTGCATCAGGGCTGTGTTTGCCCTTGTGGGACGAGGGTAGTGGACGTGGCCAGCTCAACATCAATCCTGCTGGGGCACCTGAGGTGGCTCCAGTGCTCTGCCAGCGAAAACGGGCTCCCAAGCTGCTTCCAGCTGCGACGGCTTCCTGCAAGCCTCTACCAGTGAAAACAGAGCTCCTGTAACCCTCTGTCAGTGAAAACGGAGCTCCGTTTTTACTGGCAGGCACCACGGGACGGTCCTTTGCTGTTTCCAGGACAGCCCTACAGACCAGATCTAAGCACCCCATGGGCTGGATTCGGCTCCCAGGCCTTGAGTTTGACACCCCTGATCTAGAACTAAGGAGAAATTTCCTAACGAGAACAATTAACCAGTGGAATGAAATTGTGGGTGCTCCATCACTGGAAGCTTTTAAGAGACTGGGCCCCCACTTGTCTCCTGCTTGTTCCCCTGGGATAGGCTATTCTCCTTTTCTAGTATTTATTTTACTGTATATCTGTGCATTTGTTTTTTGTTGCCTATCCATGGGACCTCACCACGGAACTGCATTTTGCTGGATCAGTCCCAGTGTTCAAGTCTGTCAAGGTGAATCATGAATTACGAATCTATCATCTGAAGTGTTAGCTGTTCCTCCCCAGCTTGTTTTCATCTGCAAATTTGATGAGTCTCCCTTCTATCCCGTTATCTAGACTATTTATGAAGACAGAATCTTGCATGCTTCCCTCCATGTAGATGTAGTTTGGATGAGGACCACTCTTTAAGTGTGGTTGGTCAGCCAGTAGCAAATCCATCTGGTGGTGGTATTGTCTATCCCACACTGTTCTATCTTACCAAGAAGTAGGCTGAGGTCAATTTTGTCAAATGCCTTATTGAAGTCTAACTAAACTATGTCCACAGCATTCCCCTTAACCACCAATTTAGTCACTTTGTCAAAGAAGGCAATAAGGTTTTGTCTGGCATGATCTGTTTTTGACACAGCCATGCCAGCTTCTATTAATTGTCTTATTTGTTTGTAGGTGCTCACAAATGTGCTGCTTGACTATTTTTCCAGGATCTTCCCAGGCATTGATGTCAAGCTGATTTATCTGTAATTTCCTGAATCCACTCCCCCCACCCCTCTTTTTTTTGTAGATGAGAACTTCTTGCCTTTGAGATCATTGCTTTCAAAATCCACATGTCCTGGAGAAACAAAAGAGTAACCTACATCAAGTGGAAGCTCATCCCCCATCATCTCACTGTGTTGGCTTTAAAACCCAACACAAGGGAATGATTTTATTATATAGGCCATGTCCACCCAGCTGCTATGGTATGCTTGTTTCCCTCAATTTTCTGCACTGGCAGAAAATAATGCCATCCTCAATCCTGTCACTCATTGGTTTTTGATTTCTATGTTACTTCACTACAATGCTTATTACGTGAAGTACTTTCTGGAATAATTAAATGCTGCACAGAAACAATAACCAATACACTATGGCATTGCCCTTAGCTTTTTCCAGGGTTGCATGTTATTCTTGTATTCACCATTACCGTCTGCAAAAGGAAGTTATTTTATTCCATAGATGGCAGCAACCATTACATGCTGAACTGAGCTTGGCTCACTAAAAGCTTTTCCTCCCACCCACCCCCTCACTATGCTGGTGTGGAGCTGATCCTCCACAAAGAGCTTGAAATTGGAAAGTACAACCGTCATAACCATTGCATCCTGCAGTGGAGAGAATGGAGCAGGCCTTGAGGGAGCAGGGCCACAGCTTTCAGAAACAAAGAATGGCAAAGGAAGAAGCAAAACAAATTAGCATGCTTTATGGTATAGTTAATATCAAGGTGACTTTCTCCATCCTAGGCTTTTTGGATGTACTGGACTACAGACACCATCATTCCAAACTACATAGTCCTTGGACATGTGGTTTGCTAATTATTGTAATTATTTGAAGGGCACAAGGATGGAGATGAGCAGGATGTACTAGATACTATGTTCCATACATGCACTAAACATTTCATTGACAAGAACCATATTGCATTAATTGTTAATTGCAATACAAAGAAGTAAGCCAACAAGTGGATTTTTGGAAACATAAACATGCAACTCATGCTTAAAAGCAAAGTGGTCTCTACATGGCACAAAAAAGATGCATGATGGACAGCTAAGCATGCACTGTTTACTAAGCAGGGAATGATGAAAGGCACATATAGAGTACCATTGGGTTTTCCTCTTGAGAAAGTCTACTGAGCAAAAGGAAGAGAGAAAGAGAGGAAGAGCAGGAGAAAGTAGATGAGCAGTTATCCATTAGTGAAAAGCATGGTGGCTATACCTCTTCCTCCTTCTGTGGCTCCGATTCACTTTGCCCCATGATGGCTATCGACTTTTCTTCCTAGCCTAGTCCATGAAGGACCTGCAGGCAAGAGAAAAATGCATATAGCTCCAGGATTATATATATATATACTTGCAGTGATCAAGTTCAGGCTGTCTCTGATAATTGGGAAAAAAAGTTTGTCTATACAATAAAAAAAAAAAACCAGACTGAATTTTCTGCAGTTGTTAATTATGGACTAACTCTAAGGACTTTTTAATACTCTAATATGCTGTAAAAAGAGCCACAGAAATAGATTTCAAAAATAGATTTGAAATATTTGTCAATATAAATTATTAACTTCAAAAAGCAGATAAGGGGGAAAAACAGTAAATAAATAAATAAATCCGAGAAAAACGTAAGAAAATTTGTATTAATCAAAAGCTGCCATGAAGGCAATTAATCTGAATGAATCAAACATAAAAGTCAGATGAATCTATAGTTAGTTAATGTCAGACTTGCCCCAGTCCAAACTCTTAGGAAAGAAAGATCCTCAATTCCATTTGTTTTTGGTTTTTTTACTAAAAGAAGAGTCCAGGTAGAAATAAATTTCCAATGCTCAAAAGATACAGAAAGTTTCCCCACATCACAGCCCTCCCCCCATGACCAGTCTGTTGTCAGCTAATAAGAGCCCACCTAGGCGTTTTGAGATCATTGAGATGTTCACATTCTTTCTCAGGGTGCATGTTCCTGGGTGCTGGCACAAATTGGTTCCAAGCTCTCTTGCTCTTCATCAAGCTCACATTCCCCCCCCCTTCCAATTTCCCATCACATACACATGCATGTTGATTGCCCATTTTCTGTTAGAGTTTGCAGCATAAATTCAAGTCCAGAAAACACAGAAGACTGACTCAACAGGATCATTAACTTCTTTACAAACATAATAACATGAGTAAAGTTTACAATTTGTAGATTCTTTCAACATAACATAAGCAAAAACACAAGCAGCAGCAGCTCAGAGCAGATATCTGTTTCAGTTTTAATTCTCAGCAAAAGTACACAGAGCAAAACCACACCCAGTCTGTAAGTTCCCATTGGCTGGTCTGTTGCCATGCTTACTCACTTGCTGACTTTGTTAACCATGTCTCTGCCAGTGAATGAATATACTGTGACATTTCCCCCCTGCCATGTCCCCCTCCTCCCTCCTAGACTTTGATAGCAGGATGTCAGCAGAGTGCCAAGCCAAAAATGGCACATCTGACAGTTATTTTGAATTCAGTATATATTACATTTCAAGTGATTTAGAAAAAGAACAGAAAAATAACATACTATTTATTAAGGTTGTTCAGTGCTTCAAATTTGAAGGCAACAACAACAAAAAAAAAAAACATTGGAATATGGATGCACATAGCACTTTTCTGTAACATCTGTTATATAGCAAAAATAATATTTAGAATGTATTGGATTCCAATATGTTATATATATATATATTATATATATATAATAAGGACTCTCAAAACAGCATTTTGTTAGAGTGCAATAAGAGTAAAGCTTCTTTAAAACACATGTTTTTACATTGTCCTATACTTAGTAAATTTGGGGAGAAAGTACCATAGTAGACTATATAAATATGACTGGAACAAAAGCTAAATTTTCAGAGAATCACATTCTCTTGAACAACCTATGTACTACATGGAATTTGACAACTGAAAAATATAAATGATTCTGCCTACCCTTACTACTGTATAGTTAAAAGACTCATATTGCAACTTTGAAAAAAATAAATGAATAGCCCCATTTACTCAATGGATGAGTAAACCTGACATTTATGACATAGACATTTTATTGACAATATAATAAAATGAGAAACAAATTTGTTCAAAATACAGTACGTTGAAATTGTTTAGGTTATATAAGTGAATTATAAATTAATATATAGTTAAATATTATTTACATTAGATATATAATTATAACTGCTACTTCTCATATTATAGTTTGCTTTTTGTTCTGTATTGTATTTTTTCCACATTTTAAAGTATTATTCATATGTAGTTTTTTTCCTTTGAGGATGTATGTATTTGCAGTATAATTAACTTTGTTTCTTTTCTTTCTTGCAAGTATTTTAAAACCAATGTAAATAAATAATAAAATATGTATGTCTTAAATGCAATTTCTTAAAATCAAACTTTTTTTCTTGGGATAGCACAGCAGTTATGTGAGTCCAAGAAAAGATGCAGTTGCTTTTAAGACTTGCAAGTGGGATGCTATACAACTGCCCCATATATTCCAAAATATATATCAGAATAACAAAGTTGGAAGGGACCTTGAAGGTCTTCCAGTCCAACTCCGTGCTCAAGCAGGAAACCCTATACCATTTCAGACAAATGATTGTCTAATTTCCTCTTAAAAACCTCCAGTGTTGGATCACCCCAACTTCTGGAGGCAAGTTGTTCCATTAATTAATTATTCTAACTGTCAGGAAATTTCTCCTTAGTTCTAGGTTGGTTCTTTCCTTGATTAATTTCCATCCATTGCTGCTTCTTCTGCCTTCCAGTACTTTAAAGTATAAATTGACCCTCCCTTCTTTGTGGCAGCCCTTGAGATATTGGAACACTGCTATCATATCACCCCATCCTTCTTTGCACAACTCTATTATCCATAATACTTCTCTAAATAATAGACAAAGTTATTGTAACATATAGTAATTTGGCTTCCACAAAATCAGTCTTCTTATTTTCACGGCTATTTCAAATATATTAAAAAAATTGATTCAGCAAAGCAGCTTTCAGCAATTTGGGGATACCACAAGACTACACAAGAAGGGAAGGAAATGCAACATTTACGCAATCTATTTGATTTTTTCCAATTATAGATGGGAGTAAACCAAATGGTAGCAACTATAATATCATGCTGTGGTAAAGTTAGATTTGGACTTGTAAATACCTTAATTGCTCTCTCTTAAAACCTATCCATTCTGATCAGTACAATGAATTTTCAATGAACTACCGTGTTTCTCCAACAATACGGCCTCCACCAATAGGAAGCCCCAGCATGATTTATTGGCATAAAATCAAATTAAGCCCCTCCCCCCAAATTAAGGCCCATATTAAACATGCGAAATGGGGGGGGGAATGGTGGGGGGGGGGCCTTGCCGTTAGGAAGTACTTTGTTGCATGCCCGGATATGGTGCTGCCTGCGTTGGTGGAGCACTTCATATCGGGAGACCTTCCGCCACCGTTGCTTTCCCTTCTCCCTTGCTGCCGTGGTGTTACAGCAACCACGTTTGGCGCAACCACGTGCAGCCAGTCAGGGCTCCTCCCTGCAACCGGAGCCCTGGGGAGACACTTGGCTTCAGGCGCTCCTGTGGCCGCCTTCCCTTTGCCTTCAAGGGAGGAATGTACCCTCCCCCAAGGAATGGGTTGCAAAGACACTGTCTCTCGGCCAAGCCTGACCTGCAAGCATGTACAGGTCAGGGAAATTGCGGGAAGGCGTGCACGGGATCTCGGTGTCAGGATTACGCAGTCCCCCAAGATAAAGACCGGATTCGCACACAATCATGGAGGCCCCAGAGGCGCCCTGCTCCGTAACCTCCAGGGCCGCGCAGGAGGAGCACCTAACAGGCAACGCGAAGCGACTATTCCCGCTTTTTCCCCGCCTTCCTTTTCGGGGGTTTTGAAGGCGAGAAGAAACTTCACCGCCCCCCCCCCGCCAACTTTCCACCCCAAGGAGGGCTAACTTCAAGAAGCGTCGCTGTTGCCAAAATGGGTTGCGTGTTTTACCTCTTCGGCGCAGCTCTGGCTTGACTTCAGCTCCCGCACCACCGCGCCGGTTGTCACCTTGTCCCGCAAGAGCAGCTGCAAAGCAGCTGCCATCCCCCACCGCCTAGAAACTAGAGGCGCCGCTTCTGCAGCCTTTCGGGGTAGGCGCGCAAAACGCGCCTCGCTGCAGCCCCCCCGAAACCGCCCTGAGCAGCAGCGAGGTAGAAGGAGGTTTGCACCTCTTTTCCTCTAATGCGTGGTATTTGCTTTCCGAGCGAGGCCCGGAGTTTGGCCTAGAGCCGGTGGTGCGGCGGTGGCGGCGTGATAAAAAGCGGGCGGCCTCTTTCCCTCTCTCTCTCTCTCTCTCTCTCTCTATGTATGAAAGAGCTCTCCTAGCTCGGAGCGTTTGGCGAAGCACACAAGTTTCGCAGTCGGAGAGGGAGGCAGCGGCGAAAAGGACGCGGCGGCAACGGTAGGATGCTGCAAGTCAGGACCTTGCATTGAAGCCCGAGGGGCACATAGCCACCTCCCTCCAGCCCACCTTGAGGAATTGCCTTTTGTTGTTGGTATACTTGGCTTCAGGAAACACCCGTGGCTCGCTTTCCCAGCTCTGCCCAGCTCGCACGGCTCCGGCGTGGCCCTGATGGGATGAGCGGAGGTTTTTAAAATAATTCGCTTTACCTTCGAAGGCAAAGGGAAGGCGGCGACAGGAGTGCCTGAAGCCAAGTGTCTCCTCAGGGCTCCGGTTGCAGGGAGGAGCCCTGACTGGCCGCACATGGCTGCGCCAAACGCCGCGGCGTTACAGTAACGCCGCGGCAGCAAGGGAGAAGGAAAAGCAACGGTGATGGAAGGTCTTCCGAACATCCAAGCTGTCGCCACCCGCCCACCCAAGGATGCAAGGGGGGGGATTAAGTCACCCCCGAAAAGACGGCCTAGCCGGTTTTTCGGGGGTCAAAAAAAAATAAGGCCCGGCCTTATTACGTGAGAAACACGGTACTAAATGAGGCATTGCTCCTGAGAATGTTCTGACCAAATCTACACTGCTGTTTCTGGCAAAGACTAGACTCATGTAAATGGTGACTGTTTAGATGATACGCAAGATGTGTGAAATAATTATGCTCATTATGAAACTCTTACTGTAGAAAACTGTATGTTATTTATGGTCATGTTTTATAAGCAAAGTAGAATCAACCAAATTACTCATTTTTATCCATCCGTATACAGGTAGCCCTTGACTTATGACCACAATTGAGCCCCCAAAATTTGTTGTTAAGTGAGATATTTGTTAAGTGAGTTTTGCCCCATTGTGTGACCTTTCTTGCCACAGTTAAGTGAATCATTG